AAAAACTAAAAAAAAAGAATTTTCAATTAAACTTGATTTTACAATTTGTATAAAAAGAATTCTTGTTAATAAAACCTATATCTTAGTAGTTATTGTAAATAAAACCTGTATCTTAATAGAGATATCTGAATAGTTAATGGTGTTCTTTGTCAACATTTAGACTAAACTTTGTTGTTGACAATCCAGTTTATTCAATTTAGTTAGCAGGTATTCAACCATCGTCCTGATGAATAATCCATGAATTTGCCCTAAAGAAAGAATTCTATAGATTAGTAGACAGAACAATTGTGAATAATTATAATTCTGGATAATAAATGCTACAGAAAAACCTTTAACCAGGCATGGTGGTGCACATTTGTATTCCCAGCACTAAAAGGCAGAAAAGAAGATCATAAATCCAAAGCCAGCTTGGGTAAGCTCCTGTCTCAAAAACAAAAAGGAGAAGCCGGGCGCTGGTGGCTCACGCCTGTAATCCTAGCTACTCAGGAGGCTGAGATCTGAGGATCGCGGTTCAAAGCCAGCCCGGGCAGGAGAGACCGTGAGACTCCTATCTCCAATAAACCACCAGAAAACCGGAAGTGGCGCTGTAGCTCAAGTGGTAGAGCGCTCGCCTTGAGCTGAAGAGCTGAGGGACAGCGCCCAGGCCCAGAGTTCAAGCCCCACGACCGACAAAAAAAAAAAAAAAAAACCAAAAAGGAGAAAGTCTATATAAAGTATGTATAAACAAAAGAGGAATAATTCTTTATAGAGACGGAATCCATAATGACATTAACTGGGCTCAAAGGATGCAAATATTTACTAGTAATGGATCATTTTATCAGCCAACATTGATGCTTTCTGTGCAGTTATTAATAGTCCTAGGAAATAGTTGCTGTTAGAAAGTGCTTCATATGCCTCATTTAAAATATTTAAAAAAGAGTAACTCCATGAGGATGGAGCTTGTTTTTTTGTTTTTTGTTTTTCCTTTTAAGACTAGTACTCTACCACTTAAGCTATAGTTTTACTTCTGTCTTTTTGGTGGTTAATTGAAGGTAAGAGTCTCAACAGACTTTTGTGCCTGGGCTAGCTTTGAGCTTGATCTTCAGAGCTCAACTTCCTAAGTAGCTAGGATTATAGGCATGAGTCTTTGGCCCCTGACAAAGTATAGATATTTGTATTTCAATGTTAGTGACTTCAGAGTCAGCAAAGACTTAGCAGTTCTCTTAATTTTCCAAAGGTCTCATTGCTTGTCAGTGTGGATATGACTTAAGGGCAGTAAAATTCATTTAATTTATTCTTTATTTTTATTGAGTTATTTCACATTGACAGGAAATAGCCTAAAACACTTTGGTTCTCAACATTTTGACATAACAGCTCTCAGGGGTTTGCTAATGTTTGCTTTTTCTTTTTGTTTTTCTTTTTCTTTGGACATTATGGGGCCTGGGCACTGTCCTGAGCTCTTCAGTTAAAGGCTAGCACTCTACCACTTGAGCCACATCACCACTTCCAGTTTTCTGGTAGTTAATTAGAACTAAGAGTCTCATGGACTCTTCTGCCTGGGCTGGCTTTGAACTGTGATCTTCAGATCTCAGCCTCGAGTAACTAGGATTACAGGTGTGAGCCCCTGGCACCTGGCTTTCTTTTCATTTTCTATCCATCCCTCTTTTCTTTTCCAGGAACAGCAAGAATTCTCTGAATCATTCCCACACATTTATTTATAATTGTGTTGTATATGTACACAGCCATATCAATATAAGACAATTTGTGTTTTAAACTTCTACAAATGCTATTATAGTACAACTTATTTTTCCAGTTGATTCTGTTTTTGAAATCTGTATTGATTCATGTATACTTGAGTTTTTCTTTTTTATTTATTATGTGGTATTTATCCCTTCCCCTGATTCATAGTCATGCTTATCTTCTTTTGTATTTGATGTAAGTATACTCCCTAGAAATAGAATTGATGAGTGATAAAGAATATTTCAAAGGGCTGGGAAGATGGCTCAGTGGTAGAGCACTTGCCTTGCATGCCTGAGGCCCTGGGTTCGGTTCCTCAGCACCACATAAGCAAAAAGAAAAAAGCCAGAAGTGGCGCTGTGGCTCAAGTGGTAGAGCGCTAGCCTTGAGCTGAAGAGCTGAGGGACAGCGCCCAAGCCCAGAGTTCAGGCCCCACGACCGGACCCAAAAAAAAAAAAAAAAGAATATTTCAAGCTTTCATGTAGATTGTTCTAACTTTTTTAAAAGCTGGTCTATTTGATTTTCTTTTTTATTATAATTTTTTGTTTATATTATTTGTACTAAAATTTTGGTAGAGTCTGAAACTTTCATACTAGTTTGAAATGTTTTATTTCATCATAGTAGCAGAAAAGAACTAGAAAGAAAACTAATAAACCTTACCAGGGATTAGTCACCCAAACAATGACAAGTCCAACATATACAAAGTAGATAAAGTTTTGTGCTTCTGAGAAAGAGGAAGAATAGGAAATAAAAGTGGAAGAACATCAGAAAGTATTGTTAATTTTTTCTTTTATTGCTTGAAATAAAAAGTCAACTGGTAAGTCTAGGTGTGATACAGTATTTACATAAGACCATCAAGAAACTTATTTAGACTGTTCACTAAAAAGTCTGTTGATTTAGTCAGTCTGTAACTTTGATTGCTGCTGCTTCAGGTTGTGTGTTTGTGTGGACACAAGGACAGGAAAAGGGCAAAAGGCCCAAGTCAGCTGAATCTTGTATCATGACCCCAAATCTTCTTGATCATAACCAGATCATATGACTTACAGCTATAAGGTGTCCTGAGGCCAATATTAACAATCATGAGACCCCAAGCTTGACTCAATAGTAATTTACATACCAGTTATGCAATAGTGCAGGTTATTTAGTCCAGATGTGTACATGAAGATGAGGATGTAAGGCTCAGACACACTACTAGCTGAATATTAGGATCTGTGAATTTGATGGTCATATTAGGTTAAAGCTGATTTTCAAGATATATGTTTGTTTTGTTTTGTTTTTGGTCAGTCATGTGGCTTGAACTCAGGGCCTGAAGGTTGTTCCTGAGCTCTTTGCTGGCACTCTACCACTTTGAGCCATAGCACTACTTCCCGTTTTCTGGTAGTTAATTGAAGATAAGAGTCTCACAGATTTTTCCTGCACAGGCTGGGTTTGAACCTAGATTCTCAGATCTCAGCCTCTTAGTAGCTAGGATTATAGGCATGAGCCAGCATTGCCCAGCTATGATCTATCATTTAATTTAACTTAAAATATTTAATTTATTTTCCTGCTATACTAGCCAAGCTCAGTGAATAAGAATTTACTAAACCTGTTTTGAAAAAGAAATTGAAGACAGACAGACAGACACACACACACACACATAACTACAGTGGTAATATCTCTAAATATTTTTAGCAATAGACCGAAAGCATTGATGGTGTAAAGAAAAAAAGCTAATATTCACATCTCAGGCTGTGTTTTGTAAGTCTGTTATTTGCCTCATAATTGCGCAAAAAAGGGAAGTTTACAGTGAAGGCATTTACTTGTAATGAAACACTGTATTCTTATTTTCTAAAAAGCCCTGTTTTATCTCCTCCCTTTTGTTCATTCCACTTATTTCTTTATGAAACAAATTCTTGTTTATCAATAAGAATTTGCAAACAATTTTAAAAGAAATTTCTTTTTTAATAATTTTTTATTGAGATTAAGTGATTGCGCAAATTTCACAGTATTGTGAGATAGTGATACTTAATTAAAGTCACAAACAAATTTTAACTTTCACAAGGCAAGTTGTCATTATCGTGGTCTATAAAGTTTGTGAATTTTATGAGCTTTGACAGTACAACTAAGAAATTAATGTCTTAATAAACCTTGGTTTAGAATTAAGTTTTTCACTTTGCAAAGACAAGGTGAAGAGATGAATAGTATACCTAAAATTAGTAGTAACAACTTCAGAAAACAGCTTAATTTGTGACCTCATTCAAAGATAATTCTGTTTACCGGTGTGTACTTCTGTCACATTCAAATTTTCTGTATTGAATATTCTATAGAAGTAGAAAATATGTAGTCATTCAGGTAAAAATGATGGATATACCTAGAATGTTTCTTTATAAATATTAACTTTTCAATAGTGAAATTTGATAAATTATTGTACAACCACCTTATGAAGTTTGATTTTTGAATATAGCCCTTCTTTCCTAAGAAATGTCAGTGTTTCTATGAGATTCTTAAGGCAGCAGGACCCCAACCAATTTTGTGAGAAATAGACAAGAACAAAGGAAATAACCTAAAGCATTACTAGCACTTGTCCTATGGTAGCAGGATTATGGGCATTTTTCTTGCTTTTTTTTTTTTTTAATTGTTGTGTTCATGTTGCATCAGTGATTTGAAGTGATTAGTAACTTGCAAAGCATGTATGTCTGACTGGAAATGTTTTATGTAACATTTTTATTTTATAGTTTTGAACTATTGAGCTTGTATAAATGGAGTTGTATAATATTTGCATTCCAATTGAGAAAACTAAAGCTAAAAATAAGATGCAGAAACCCAAGATAGTTGTTTTTTACGCCTTTTGTTATTATCATTGTCAAATGTTTTTGTTGAACATCCAGGGACAAAAAAAATCTCTCTCTCCTCTCTTTCTGTCTCTCTCTCTCTTTCTCTCTCTGTCTCTCTCTCCTCTCTCTGTCTCTCTCTGTCTCTCTCTGTCTCTCTCTGTGCCAGTTCTTGAGCTTGAACTCATGGCTGGGGTACTCTCCTCAGGCTGGTGCTCTACAACTAGAGCCACACATCTACTTCTGACTTTTTTTTTTTTTTGGCTAGTTAATCAGAGATAATAGTATCATGGGCTTTTGGTTAGCTTTGAACTGTAGTCCTCAGATCTCAGCCTCCTGAGCAGCTAGGATTATAGGCATGAGCCATAGGGCCCAGCAAAAGCCACCTTTTTTAATAGAGAACTTTCTAATGGTAAAATCTCTTGTATTTTCTAATCTTGAAAACTTCTGTAATTAAACTTTTCTGGTTTTTAGAGGAACAAAAAGAAAACGGAAAGATAAAAAGTGATGAACGACCAAAGGATTCAGTAAACCATTCTACAGCCAGTGTTCTAGACGAGACTACTGTAAAAATTGAAAGAGAAGATGAAAAAGAACTTGTGAAACTACCAGTCATAGTAAAACTAGAAAAACCTTTCCCAGAAAATGAGCAAAAAAAGATTATCAAAGAAGAAAGTGATTCATTCAAGGAAAATGTAAAACCAATTAAAGTAGAAGTAAAGGATGGCAGAGGAGATCCCAAAGACAGCAGAGGTAGTGTGGAAAAGCCTGGGCTACAGGAGCCTGAGCGCCTAGAATTTGGTGGCAGCATCAAATCTACTCAAGACATTTCAGAGAAATCTACTGAAGAAACTGAGAAACTTAAAAATGATCAACAGGCCAAGATACCACTAAAAAAAAGAGAAATTAAACTGAGTGATGATTTTGACAGTCCAGTAAAAGGACCATTATGTAAATCAGTTACTCCAACAAAAGAGTTTCTGAAAGATGAAATAAAACAAGAAGAAGAGACTTGTAAAAGGGTCTCTACTATCACTTCTTTGAGTAATGAAGGGAAACAACTAGTAAATGGAGAAGTTAGTGATGAAAAGATAACTACAAATTTTAAAACAGAACACATAGAGACAAAGTTTTATGATATAAAGGAAGATAACTCTAGCAGCCCATCTAAGGACAAAAATGTTCTCACAGAGGAAAATGGAGGCGAATGCTTAAATTCTGTTATAACAAATATGAAAACAAATGAGCTTGACAAAGAAGCTGTCCCTTTTGTTGTAGATAGTTCATTGTCAGTCTTAGAGACTCACAGTCAGAAAGGGCAGTCAGAGGAACCTGGTTCTCCAAAAATGGAAACATCTCATGAGTTTTCTGAGTTTCCAAAGGATCTTTCTTTAAAGACTATTTCATCTGCTGCTGAATCTTATACAATGAAAGTTGATGCAAAGTCCCCCAAAAGTAAGAAAGAGAACCTCCCACCCATCATAGAATGTCTTGAAAAAATAGAGAAGTCCAGAAAGTCTTTTCTTGATAAAGATACACAAAGATTAAGTCCAATACCAGAAGAAGTTCCAAAGAGCACTCTAGAATCAGAAAAACCAGGGTCTCCTGAACCTACTGAAACTTCCCTACCAATTAAAATGAGTGGCCACAATGAGAAACTAGCCTCAGAAAAAGAAGCAGAATGCCAGAGTCCAAGTTCTGTTGAAGCTCAGTCCCTGGTAAAAGCAGATCCAGAAATTCTAAAAGAGAGTTCTGAGTCCATGAAGGTGGAATTGGATAATCTGGATAATGCCCAGACTTCTGGCATAGAGGATGTTTCTGAGACAAAGAGTTCTACCCAAAAAAGCAAATTTAAATATAAGTTGGTTCCTGAAGAAGAAACCACTGCCTCAGACAATACAGAGATAACCTCTGAAAGACAAAAAGAAGGCATCAAATTAACAATTAGGATATCCAGTCGGAAGAAGAAGCCAGATTGTCTCCCCCAAATTCTAGAACCAGAAAGCAAACAAGAAAAGACAGAAAAAGAAGAAGAGAAAACAAATGTTGGTCGCACTTTAAGAAGGTCTCCAAGGATATCTAGACCCACAGCAAAAGTGGCTGAAATCAGAGATCAGAAAGCTGAAAAAAAAAGAGTGGATGGGGAAGATGAAATAGATGAAGAGTCAACAGCTTTACAAAAATCAGACAAAAAAGAAAATATGAAAAAAAACGAGAAGGATACAAATTCTAAAGTAAGCAAGGTAAAAGTTACATTCTTTTACATTTTAATTGGAAATACAGTCTATAGCTTTGTGTTTTGGGCTAAAATATAGTCATTCAAAGACAACTAAAAACTTTTTTATCTTATCTCGTCAGTTATCCCCACATACTAAATTTCAGACCTTATAATCGTATTATCTTTTCAACTTTTAAAAAATTATACGCAGTATTAGGAATATATTCTTTTTATACACTCTTCAAGTTGCAAGCAACCTATAGAATTATAAAATGAAAATTCCCCATAACCACTAATAACAGTTTGGGGTATATAATATTTTGATCACTTTCTATGCACTTATATCTATGTTTATAAGCATATTATCAATTAAAATAAATTGAATGAAGTCTGATTATCAAATAAGAAATAAATTCAACCAAGTATTCATTTTGCTAGAGTTTTTCACACAAGAAGTTTCTATATTTTTCCATGTCAAGAGATATAGTCTACGTTTTGTTTTATTAATGACCACATAGTATTTCATAGTGTGGATATACCTCAGTGTATTTAAACACTCCCTTATTAATTGACATTTAGGTTGTTTCCAATTTTTCACTATTACAGGCAATGCTGCATTTTGAAGATCCTTTTGGACATGAGTGAGTATTTCTTTAGAATAGACTCCTAGAATTGGAATTGCTGGGTCAAGGGGCATATGTATTATATATTTATATATAGTTTTTGCCACACTGCCCTTCACAAAGGCCCTAATCATGTACTGTGTCATTATCAGTGTCTTGACAGTACCTATGTCCTTCATTTTAATCATTAGACTTAGAATTAAGAATTTGGTTCCCTCCCCCCCTTCTCTTTTTTAAGCAAAGTCTTGTACTTGGCTAGCATATATGAATTTGTTATAATTACAGATGCTGCTTTTATTTTTTATTAATTTAAACCAAGAAATTATCATTGTATATGATCTCTTGTTTCCTGGAATATGGAACTTTTAATTCTTTTTTTTTTTTTTTATTGTGAGAATGCCGTACAGAGGAGTTACAATTACATGGGCAAGATAATGAGTACATTTCTTACCAAGCATTGTTGCCTCCTCTTTGTTTGGAACTTTTAATTCTTTTGAAAAAGTATTTTTCTTTTTTGTTGGAGATAGAAATGAAGTGAAATATTAGTTAAGAGATTGAGAAACTAACTAGGCACTAAAATGTAAGAACATTATAAATTTATTCTCCAGATAATACATTTTTTTTCAGGATTTTGACCTTTAAGTTCATCTAAAATATATGCTTTAAAATTTTGCATAACTGTGACTATACTTTCCTATTACTCATTGAGCCTTTAAAATTTACTACATGGCCTTTGACCCAGAATCCTCTTCAAGGAATTTATCCTAACCACAAGGACTTTTGTAAAAACAGTATATATACAAGGAAGCATAGTGAAAGTGAACAAATGGGAAACAACTATCTAAATGTCTAATAGGGGACCAGACAAATACAGCCTTGATCGTATATTACAAAATGATTTCTAGTGATTTTAGAAGGATATTTTATGACTTAGAAAAACATAGTGGTCATTTTAATGCCATCTTTAAAGACTCCAAAATACATAAAAAAATGATAGAAGTATATTCCAAAATTTAATCAGATATATTGATGTATATTTTTTGTATATTGGCCAAATACTATATGAGGGATATATAATCAAGAGACATTTTCCCAAAACTTATAGCAAATTTATCCCAATTTTAATTTTATGCAAGGTAAAGCCCAAAGGCAAAGTTCGATGGACTGGTTCTCGAACACGTGGCAGGTGGAAATATTCCAGCAATGATGAAAGTGAAGGATCTGAGAGTGAAAAATCATCTGCAGCTTCAGAAGAGGAAGAAAAGGAAAGTGAAGAAGCTGTCATAGCTGATGATGATGAACCCTGCAAAAAATGTGGCCTTCCAAACCATCCAGAGCTGGTATGTGTCTTGTCTGAAAGAACAGTGTTTATATGATCAGTTACGCTGTAGCTGTCTTGAGTTGCCTAACTTGCCTGGGTTTGATTATGTATTACAAGTGATTTACATTTCTATTTCCCAAGTAACCCAACTTGAGGAAGGGCAAGAACTAGAATCTTGTTTCTATTTTACTTAGGTTATATGTTAAAACTTTCCTCCTGTGTCCTTTAATCAGTGGACTTAAATATTCTTCTGACTTTTTTTTTTTTGTCGATCGTGGGGCTTGAACTCTGGGCCTGGGTGCTGTCCCTGCACTCTTCAGCTCAAGGCGAGTGCTCTACTGCTTGAGCCACAGCACCACTTCCAGTTTTCTAGTGGTTTATTGGAGATAAGAGTCTCATGGAGTTCCTTGTCTGGGCTGGGTTTGAACCGCCATCCTCAGATCTCAGCCTCCTGAGTAGCTAGGATTATAGGCGTGAGCCATTGGTGCCCAGATTTCTTCTGACTTTAAAATTTATGTTTCCCTTTAAGAATGATTGAATGAAGCTGGTGCCGGTGGCTAAGTAGCAGAGTGCTGGCCATAAGCTGAATTGTTCAGGGACAGCAGCCAGGCCCAGAGTTCAAGCCCCACAACCAACCAAAAAAAGAATGATAGTTTATCATAGAAAGATAATTTTAAAATGTTAAACTAGAAAGAAAATAAAATGTTAGACTTGAGACTTGATCACCTATCCATAAAAATATAAATCAACTAGTCACCAACTAGGACTTTACAGTTTTTAAATAGTCAATGTTTTAAAAAAAATAAAGATATCAAATTATAGATGAGTTATACTCATACAGCTTACCCAAGAAATAAGTTCTTCAAAGATGGTTTACAGGATGTGAGGTGAATCTGGTTGCAACATCTGTTCACCCATTGATCATTAGGGTTGATCATGCTTATCTGGATGGCTGGGAATATGCCCTTTTCCCTCACTGCTACATGTGCATTTCTCCAAAATCTGCATGCTGTGTCAGAGGACAACCTTTCCCAGTAGAGGAGACAATTCTTGGGTCAAGTAGCCACACTCTCTTGCTAGAACCTCCACACAGGCTCTCAAAATTAGTCTACATCAGAACAAATTTCCTAATCTACATACCATGTGCAGTAGATAAATGAGAAACACTCAGATTTTGCTTAAATCTGTGCTACTCTATTGTTCTTTTGAATAGATTTGACTTTAAGGAAAACCTCCAAGTATTAAGTAGAAAAAAATGAACAATCCTTCTATATGATGAGAATGTGAGGAATGAGGATAATTTGAGGTGCAGTGAGGTTTGCAATAATCCTAGGAGGTGCTTCAGGTTCATTTTCATATGAAGCAGTGTAATCTGAGAAAGCATGGGGCCACACAGACAGCAAGTTAGATCCTACCCCCACCCCCAACCCCCTAACAGTTACCACCCTTTGCCAGTCCTGGAGTTTGAACTCAGGGCCTGGGCACTTTCCTTAAGCCTCTCTGCTCAAGGCTAGTGCTTTACTAACTTGAGCCACAGTGCCACTTCTGGCTTTTTCTGTTTATGTGGTACTGAGGGATCGAACCCCCATTTCCAACCCCCACCCTTTGGTTCTTAATGTCTTCCTTGTACAATAAAGCTAGTTCCATGTGCTTTTGAGGTGTTTTTTAATCAGCTCTTATAAGACTACCTGATATGTATTATATGCTGGCTTAAAGTGAATTCTGGTTCACTTATTCTTTTCTTCCTTACTGTTAAAATCATTCTGTTAAAATTAAGCAGTAACATTTATTGTATCACAGTAGTTTCTGAGGATTCAAGTAAAAGATTTAAGCTAGAACCAGAAAATGAGTTATCTCTGATAAGAATAGATAAGCACTTATAATGAAAAGATCCTTTTAAGCATTTTATGATTATCAAGGCTATGAAATTTAGGTCAAGAAAAAAGGGCAAGACGGGCTGGGAAGGTGGCTCAGTGGTAGAGCGCTTGCCTTGCATGCCTGAGGCCCTGGGTTCGATTCCTCAGCACCACATAAGCAGAAAAAGCCGGAAGTGGCACTATGGCTCAAGTGGTAGAGCGCTAGCCTTGAGCTGAAGAGCCAAGGGACAGCACCCAGGCCCAGAGTTCAGGCCCCCACAACCGGAAAAAAAAGAAAAAAGGGCAAGAGAAAATAGTTTTGCAAGGGCAAGAGAAATGTCTTTTTTGCCCTGTGTTCTCTCTTTACAATTTACTCCAAATCATCTCTTTAAACTAAAGAAATATATCTGTCAGTAACAAAGAAGGTATAATGAAATTGGAAGTAAAATGCCATAAGCCAAAATGACAAGATGAGATAGTTATCCTCCTTCTGTAGTACACATATGAGTTTTATTTATTTGGCTATTTAAAAAATTTTTGGTGGTTATAAAGGTGATGTACAAAGGGGTTACAGTTACATAAATCAGGTAAAAAGTACATTTCTTTTTGGAAAATGTCACTCCTTTCCTTGTTCTCACCCAGTTTTTCCTTTCCATCTCCACCCAACAAGTCTTTAATTCATTTTCAACATAGTATCTAGTGAATACCACTGCTGTATTTATTCACCCCTTGTCCCTCTATTTCTGTGTTCCTCCTCCCCTTACTTATTTGGCTATTTAATAACCACTTGGAAAATCCCATTGCTGTTTACTGTGCCAAGGAAAATGCCATTAAAAACCAAAGATCCAAAATGTGATGGCCAAGGGTATATAGATAATTCTCAAATCAAAATAACAACTGATAACGTTAAATGAAAGAAATGTGATGCTCACGAAGAGATGTAAAGTCCTTGTCCTCTTGAGCCTATAGCAACAAAGTAAGAAACTAAGGAGTAAATAGAACATTCTGGGAGTTTCCATATATTCCATATATTTTGAAGTTTAGCAAAGGTTTATTTAGTAAGACAGGACAAAATAGTGAAGACTAGAAAGGGAGAGAGGCACATTCTCCAATACCCAGAGAAGAGGATCTGATAGGCTGGCTGGCTCCTCCAAATGTGTTAGCTGAAATAAATAGATCAAGTAAAAGTAAAGTATTTTACTACACGATTGGAAGTCTTGTTTGTTAATTGTTTGTTTTAACCTTAATTACACCATAGGGATTTCGTTGAGACATTCCATACTATACAGTGTATCCTCATCAACTCTCACCACTCACTCTCTTCCTCCCTCTCCTGTCTAAAAGAATGTCAGCTGGTTTCATTATTCTATTCTCATAATGTGCAAATAAACAACTTGAGCCATATTTATTCTCATTTACCCTGTGAATGCACCCTCTCCCTCCTTCAGAAACTGCCTCTCTTTTTTTGTTATTGTAAAGGTAATGTACAGAGGGATTACAGTTAATATAAATCAGGTAAGAGTACATTTGGCGGGGGCTGGGAAGGTGGCTCAGTGGAAGAGTGCTTGCCTTTCTTTCATGCATGAGGCCCTGGGTTCGATTCCTCTGTACCACATAAGCAGAAAAAGCCAGAAGTGGCACTGTGGCTCAAGTGGTAGAGTGCTAGCCTTGAGCTGATATGCTGAGGGACAGTGCCCAGACCCAGAGTTCAGGTGCCACAACTGCAAAAAATAAAGTACATTTGGCTTTGGACAGTGTCACTCCTTCTCTGGCTCTGCCAGTTTTTCCCTTCCTGAAACCCCCCTTGAACAGAGTCTGGTTTAGTTTTCTGTCAGCCATTACTACGGGATTTTACCATGTTATTTCAGATGTACATGTATCGTATTCGTGTAATAATAACCCTCTATTCTTTACCCCAAAATGCCCTCTGAGCAACATTTTCACTGAGATTTCCTAATGGAACTTAAAACTCTTCTTTGGGGGCTGGGAAGGTGGCTCAGTGGTAGAGTGCTTGCCTTGCATGTATGAGGCCCTGGGTTCCATTCCTCAGCACTACATAAGCAGAAGAAGCCGGAAGTGCCCTTATGGCTCAAGTAGTAGAGCTCTAGCCTTGAGCTGAAGAGCTGAGGGACATCTTCCAGGCCCAGAGTTCAGGGCCCACGACCGACCAAAACAAAAACAAAACAACTCTTATGTGGTTATATTTTTTTTTTCAGTATTTTATTTTGGTTGTAGAGTAGAGACAGTCTTTGTTTTAGAGGTAAGTTAAATGTTGAAAGTTTGTTATTTTTTAACTTAAATTATATATATATATATATATATTTTTTTTTTTTTTTTTTGGTCGGTCGTGGGGCTTGAACTCTGGGCCTGGGCACTGTCCCTCAGCTCTTCAGCTCAAGGCGAGCACTCTACCACTTGAGCTACAGCACCACTTCCGATTTTCTGGTGGTTTATTGGAGATAGGAGTCTCACAGTCTCTCCTGCCCGGGCTGGCTTTGAACCGTGATCCTCAGATCTCAGCCTCTTGAGTAGCTAGGATTACAGGCGTGAGCCATCAGCGCCCGGCTTGTATATATATTTTTTAATTTTTATTTTATTTTTATTTATTTTTTGTTGGTTGTGGGGCCTGAACTCTGGGCCTGGGTGCTGTCCCTCAGCTCTTCAGTTCAAGGCTAGCACTCTACTGCTTAAGCCACAGCACCACTTCCAGTTTTCTAGTGGTTTATTGGAGAGACTTTCCTGCCCTGGATTGGAACGGTGATCCTCAGATCTCAGCTTCCTGTGTAGCTAGGATTATAAGTGTGAGCCACCGGCGCCCGGCCTAAAATTAGTTTTTAAAGCTTTTTTTTTATATTAAACACTCATAAATATAATGTCCCAAGTTTTAGAGTTGGTCATCTTTTTACACTCAAATTACCAATAAAATACAAATTCTAAGGCTGGGATGTAGGTTAGTTGCAAAACACTTGCCTAGCAAGCACAACATCCTGGGTTCAATCCTGAGTACCAATAATGAAGATAAATAAAAATACAAACTCTTAAAACTAGTCGTTATTACTTATGTTGGTGTTTGAACATAACAGTTCTAAATATAGTTTGAGTTCTTTTCTATTCGTGTCCATTTCTTACTTGAATTTACAGGATTAAAAAGAACCATGAGTGTTTCTTTTTGCATAAAGAATGTTATTATCATCCTATGGTATATGATAGGGTAACACTAATTCTAATTAAGAAAGCACTTATTATGTTTTACTAAATTTTGTACCTTTATATTTTCTTAAGTATTAGTAGAAAGAAATTTTTTATTTTTTTTTGCCGGTCGTGGGGCCTGAACTCTGGGCCTGGGCACTGTCCTTCAGCTCTTCAGCTCAAGGCTAGTGCTCTACCACTTGAGCCACAGCGCCACTTCCAGCTTTTTCTGCTTATGTGGTGCTGAGGAATCGAACCCAGGGCCTCATGCATGCAAGGCAAGCACTCTACCACTGAGCTACCTTCCCAGCCCCATGGAAAGGAAAAATTTTAACTGTTGAAAATATTAGCATTTCCGATTCCTACTTATTAAAGCTTTTATTCATTAACCTTATGCAAGTAAAATTTACTTTGCAGTAGCATACTAAGAAACACTGAAATATTATCTTTTTTAAAAAGTATCTAAAATTTTAGTTGGGTTGATATTGATGTGGTTTATTTCAGATTCTTCTGTGTGATTCTTGTGACAGTGGCTACCATACTGCCTGCCTGCGCCCTCCTCTGATGCTCATCCCTGATGGAGAATGGTTCTGCCCTCCTTGCCAGCATGTACGGCCCAGTCCACCTCTGTCTCCAGTCTTTGGTTTTATGTTCAAACAAATACTTTTTAACAGTCAGTGAACATCTTCCATTTTCAAAACAGTTTGTAAATTGTGTTTATTTCTTGCTTATTCATCTACCTTTTATTAATAGTTTTTAGACTCTTCACTTTTTATTTAAAGTAATTTTCAGGAGCCCTCAAACACCCTCGGACTTGTACAAGAGTACCAATATAAGCTATATATGAGTCAGAAATAAATTTCTGTAGTTTATCCCTTTATTTCATTCTTTTCATTTCAACCTTTTTTTTGTTAGTAGTTTTGTCAGTAGTTTTGTAGTTGATTTTATAAGGATTCTTTTGTATTGATTCTCCTATATTTCTTTTGACAGTTAAGGATTTCTGTGTCCCTGCTCTATTTAGATACTGTATCTTAAAAGCCCAGCTCATTTTGTTTTTCAAATGATGAGCTATATGCATTTCTGGATTTCCAATGGCTTAGCATAACTCTCTCAATTACATTTTCAGGCTTTTTGTGGCGTTTTCTGTCTTTTTTTTTGTCAGTTGTGGGGCCTGAACTCTGGGCCTGGGTGCTGTCCCTCAGCTCTTCAGCTGAGGAATCGAACCCAGGGCCTCATGCATGCAAGGCAAGCACTCTACCACTGAGCCACCTTCCCAGCCATCTGTCTTGTTTTTTAAAACAATAGTTTTAAAACAATAGTTAATGGTGTGTGTGTGTGTGTGTGTGTGTGTGTGTGTGTGTGTGTGTGTACTAGAATTGGGGCTTGAACTCGGCCTGGTGTACTGTACCTTTTTCCCTCAAGTCTCACTCTCTACCACTTGAGCCACAACTTTACTTCTGACTTTTTGGTAGTTAATTGGAAATAACCTCAGATATCAGCCTCTTGACTAGCTAGGATTTCAAGCATGAGCTACTTGTACTCATCTACTAGTCATTTTTTATTTTTTTTTGGGGGGGGCCCGGTCGTGGGGTCTGAACTCTGAGCCGGGCACTGTCCCTCAGCTCTTCAGCTCAAGGCTATTGCTCTAACACTTGAGCCACAGCGCCACTTCCGGCTTTTTTTCTGCTTATGTGGTGCTGAGGAATCGAACCCAGGCCTCATGCATGCGAGGCAAGCACTCTACCACTGAGCCAACTTCCTAGCCCCCCTTTTTTAATTTTTTTAATTGTACATTAAAGCTTTCTAAATATGTCTTGAAATCTCTGCTTTAATTACACTCACTTTATTGACTGAAATGCTAATGCTATTTTCTTACTTTTTTTTTTTTGCATTGACCACAGTAGGCGCAAATGTGTTAGGTTTTTTGGTTTTTGGTGAAAGCATACATTTCTCTGACATGCTTTAATTAAAAAATATTATGCTTTCCTTAAGCACAAGAAACATCAGTATTCAGTCCCCATGTGGCTTCTTCTCAGGGGTTTAACGTTCATGTGATAAATGACTATGGGAAGGTATTAAAAATGACACATATATTTTGCTCATTCAGAAACTGCTATGTGAAAAATTAGAAGAACAGTTGCAAGATTTGGATGTTGCCTTAAAGAAGAAGGAGCGTGCTGAGCGAAGGTATCTTATTATGTGTTAATGTTTTGCTAGGAATTTGACTTATAATAAATATGTATGAACACTCTGTCTAAAACAACTAGCAAACTGTGGTCTTTGACCTAAATCTGGTCTACTTCTTTTGTGCTACTCATTGAGAGAGAGAGAGAGAAAGAAAGAGAGAGAGAGAGAGAGTGTGTGCGTGTGTGTGTGTGTGTGTGTGTGTGTGTGTGTGTGTACTGTTTCTTGGACTGAGGGCCTTGTGTTCTCACTTTATTTTTTAGCTCAAAGCTGGCACTCTGTCTCTTGAGTGACACCTTAACTTCCAGCTTTTCACTGATAAATCACAACTTTTCTTCCTAGGCTTGCTTCAAACCTCAGCCTTCAGATCTCAGCCTTCTTAGTAGCTAAGATTACAGGCATGAACCACCAACACCTGGCTATGGTTCATATTCTTTTTTTTTTTTTGGGTCCGGTCATGGGGCCTGAACTCTGGGCCTGGGCACTGTCCCTCAGCTCTTCAGCTCAAAGCTAGCGCTCTACCACTTGAGCCACAGCGCCACTTCTGCTTTTCTCTTTTTGCTTATGTGGTGCTGAGTAATCGAACACAGGGCCTTGAGCATGCAAGGCAAGTGCTCTACCACTGAGCCACCTTCCCAGCCCTATGGTTTATATTCTCAAAAGAGTTGGAAAGAAACCAAAACTAGAATCATTTTTCATGATAGAAAAATTAAAAAGTATGAGATTTAATTGACTATAACTAAAACTTAATGAAATACATCTTTGCTAATTTTTTATATGCTGTGTTTGCTTTTGCTTTACAGCAGTAGAGTTAAGGAACCACAGAAAAGACCTATGACTCACCAGAAAAGTTTGCTAACCCTTGATTTTTAATATATATATCAGAATTTGCTGTGAATAAATTCTGGCCCAAATAATGTACCTAAGTATTAAAGGAGACTGTGATTAGTCATGTCATCTCTTTTGATGGGAAGTATTAACACTGGTGAGCAAAGACCATTTAATCATTGAACTGTGTCCTACTGACTGAAGGAGATGCTCCATTTTTATTATACCACTACAGTATGGTGTAAATGAAGAAAAAAGATGAGAGAATAAAGCCCTTGTTCATGTGGCACTCATGAATACAGGTGTTTCAACCAATGATATAATAAAATACAAAAATAGAGATATATTTAAAATAACTCCATGGGGCTGGGAAGGTGGCTCAGTGGTAGAGCGCTTGCCTTGCATGCCTGAGGCCCTGGGTTCGATTCCTCAGTACCACATAAGCAGAAAAAAAAAAAGGAAAAAAAAATAAAAATAACTCCAGAATATTTTAGAGTAGCATTTTAGTTTTCTTAGGTGTTACTGTTATCAGGAAAGGCATCAGAATGTAAATTAGGATTATATAAGTGAACATGGAAAGAAGAGATATTCTGGCATTGAGCATAAAAGGCAAAATGTCAAAGTGAGGGATAGGATATTGGTAAGGAACAGGACCTCTAAAAGCAGAATGAGTCCAAATTGCAAACAGTTTCCCATAGCTGGTTAGGGAGTTTGAGTTATTTTCATTAGAAATCAGGGAGCCATTAAAGAAAATACATAGAAGGAATTAGAGTTGGGATGTAGCTCTAAAGAGTTTGAGAGATGTCATTCTTGTTCTAAGTTAGATGGGAATGACTTTCAGAGGAATAATCTATAAGACGTATTTCCCACCTATACCAATCTTCTGATTGGCCTTATTTACATTCATTTGCTACTTCTGTCTTTGACTCATGCTAATTTTTCCCCCCAAAATTTAGTTTACCTTAAGACAGCAAATTTCATATTCTGCTCAGGGTGAACCTAAACAATAAGTTTAGCTTTTAGAAATCTGGCTTTGGTTTGGTGTAGTATTTTACTATTAAATTGGAGCTATCTGGCACATAAATGATACTACTTAGTTTGTAGGCAAGAATGGAGATGTAGCTCAGTGGTAGTGTACTTGTCAGTTTCACAAAAGGCTCTGTTGATCCTCATCACTAAACACACACAAAATACACATTCATCTTTAAAGTTGACTAAGGAAGAAGCACTTAGCTTTTGAAAGTTATGTGATGTAATCTCAACCTTAAAGAGTGGTAGTCTGATGGAAAAGAGGTACCAATGTGTATTTAGTGACTAATCAGCAACTGTGTACAGATCTGAACTATTCTATGAAATATGATTTCAAAGTCCACTCAGTAATTCTTTTTTTTTGGCCAGTCTTGGAGCTTGAACTCAGGACTTAGGGTTTGGGTGCTGTCCCTGAACCGCTTCTACTCAAGGCTAGCGCTCTACCACATTGAATTATAACATCACTTCCAGCCTTTTCTGGGTATTTTATTGGAAATGAGTCTCACAGACTTTCCTGCATAGGTTGGCTTCAAACTGCAATCCTCAGATCTCAGCCTTCTAAGTAACTAGGGTTGCAGGCATGAGCCACTAGCACCCAGGTCCACTCAGTAATGTTTAAATGTTTCCTCTAGAACTAAGTGCAGAGATTACTTAGGCATTCAGACAGCCTGTATTCCTAAGACACTATTTCTAGTGCTTTTTTAGAAGATAATTGGATTTAATCAAGTTTGGAATTTTTCAAGTAATATAACAGAGGGAAGGAGAAAAGGAGACAAACAACTCAGAAGTATATGCAAATGATAGAGCATTGAGTCTAAGCCAGGTCAGTAGGAGTAGTGGATAATGTTTAAAAGAGGATAGACTCACCAGGCACTGGTGACTCACACCTGTAATCCCAGCTACTCAGCAGTTGAGATCTGAGCATTTTGGTTCAAAGACAGTCCAGGCAGGAAAGTCCATGAGACTCAATCTCCAGTAAACCACCAGAAAACTGGAAGTGGTGCTGTGGTTCAAGTGGTAGAGCACTAGCCTTGAGCTGAAGAGCCCAGGGACAGTGCCCAGGCCCAGAGTTCAAGCCTCCCCCCACACACACACCCAAAAAAAGAGGATAGAATCAAATGTTTGAGATCCTATTGTAATTGAAGAATTGTTGGAACCAGAATATATAATTGAGCAAATTAGAAATGGAACTAGGACAAGTCAAGAGAATAGGATATCATTTGGAATTTATTAAGAGTGGAGTTTTTGTTAACTGTTAAGACTAGCCAAAACCAAGGTGAACTAAAAGATTTATCTTTACAAACAAGATAATGATTTGATGAGACTGCCTCCAACTCAAATGTTAATGTATTTAAAGCCTCTCCAAATTCCTCAGTTCTTTTTTCATTTCTTTTATTCTTGTTCAATAATCCTTGTCTGTAAATAATTGTGAGACCAGAAACAGTATCTTACTTATGGATTCCCAAACCCAACACAGTCCTAACCTAATATGATGAATGTGAATAAATGTTTGCTCAGTTAAATTTAGGAAAAAGTAACCAACTGAATGTAGAGATTTTGAGTTGTAAGGGAGAAAACTGTGATCTCAGTAAAAGTGATTATGACAGAGATAAGCTCACTTTATATAATAACAGAAATAATTCAGACCATGCTGATACTGTTGGTAATGTTCTTACCTTTCCTAATTAGTACTTCATTAATTGTATTTTTATCAGGTCTTATTAAAATAATTTATTTTCATACATGCCAGTTCTTATTTAATTGCTTTATAACTTCTCTGACATTCTTGTTAACAAATCAAGATTTTGTTAGGCAATAGAGGCTGATCTCTAAAGGACCTAGATAGGTAGACACATTATTTTCCCTCTGGAAGAGATATGACAAGTAAGGGAAGAAGATTGCTTTGTATTTACTTCACTTGAACACATGCCCTGACATGTTGGAGCTCAGCTTCCCTTAATGAACAAGATTAATGTTATAGAACTAGAGATAGCATCTACTGTATATAACTAGATATGTGCTCCATCACTTACATAAAGTGACTAGAACCTTTGGCATATAATTGATTATACTTATAATTGAATATATTACTCAAAACTTCTAACACTTCAAAGATCTAGTCTGGAGCTAGCAGGGGGCACGCCTCAAGTGTTAGAGTGACTGCCTAACAGGTACAAAGGCCCACAGATCAAATCCTAGTACCAGTTCCACCCCTTACTCCCCATTTTTTTTTTTTTTTTGTCAGTTGTGGGGCTTGAACTCAGGGCCTAGGCACCTGTTCCTGAGCTGTTTTTGCTTGCAACTAGTGCTCCACCACTTTGAGCTACAGCTCCACTTCTGTTTTTCTTCTGTTTTATTTGGAGATAAGAGTCTCACAAACTTTTCTTGCCTGGGCTGGCATTGAACCACAATTCTCAGATCTCATATGAGCCACCAGCGTGCAGCTCAAAAAAATTTTTTTTTTTAATGAAAAAAGATGTAGTTTGATCTAGAGACAACTTTTCATTTAACAGTGTCATCAAGTTATGACGTTCTTCATGAATTTTTTTGTCTTAATTTTAATTACAGGTTTTATGTAGCTAATACAGGTCAACTGTAAAATAATAATTTCATACCTTCAGGTAGTTTTTGCTCAAGTTATTAATACTCAAAGGTTCATAACTAACATCTAATATGTCTGTAGTAGTCTTTATATATACCTGTAATTGTAACATTATTATTTGCATTAATGATATTTTTGTAATAATTTTATTTTTAGCAAAGCTTACATGTATGTGTTTTTACTTAAAGGAAAGAACGCTTGGTTTATGTCGGTATCAGTATTGAAAACATCATTCCTCCACAAGTAAGTTTCTTTAAAGGGGGTATTTTGAGAAACACTGTAGAGAAATTATTCATAATCTGCAGTGCTTGAGATTACATGTATATAGATAACCCATAAATGTGATTACCATTTCTACACTAAATGTGTAGCTTACCACTTTGGGTTAATGTTCTGTTGTTTTCATTCTAACCTGGATAATTTGTGTTTAGCTTTTTAGTATGTTATTCATGTAAAATGGCTAGATAATGGGTTGAGATTTTATTTTTAGCTTCCTGCTTTTCAGTTATTGTAAACTTTAATTTGTATTTTTTACCCAAACTTTGGTTTCTTTAAAGAATTACCATTGTTTTACATTTGTTAGTACATAATTAAAAGATGTTATCTCAGGTTGGGCGCTGGGGGCTCAGGCCTGTAATTCTATCTACTCTGGAGGCTGAAATCTAATGACTGAAGTTCAAAGCCAGACAGGCCAGGAAAGTCCATAATACTCTTTATCTACAATTAACCACCAGAAAACTGGAAGTGGCACCATGGCTCAAAGTGGTGGAGTTCTATCCTTGAGCAAAAGAGCTCAGGGACAGCTCCCAGACCCTCAGTTCAAGACCCATGACCAAAAAAAAAATTTATTTCATGAATCTTCAAAGGTACAAGAAACTTGATTTCCCATTTAGCATGAACACACTTCCATAATTTTATAGGCAATTTCATTTAGGCTTAATTTATTAATCACAGACTTAAATACCCCATTGAGTTATTTTCCTTTAGCATCAAACTCTTTATGTCAATTATTTCATGCACTTGACATACATATATACTGAATATTTTCTGTATGCTATATTTAAATATTGGTTAAAAGACTATATTAGTGGTAAACTTTTATTTTATTTCATTTCTATTTTTTTGTTGGTCATGAGGCCTGAACTCTGGACCTGGGCTCTGTCCCTCGGCTCTTTAGCTCAAGGGTAGGGCTCTACCACTTGAGCCACAGCTCCACTTCTGGCTTTTTCTGCTTCTGTGGTACTCAGGAATCGAACCTAGGGCTTCATGCATGCAAGGCAAGCACCCTACCACTGAGCCACCTTCCCAGCCTTATCTTGATTTTTTTTGGGGGGGGGGTTCCGGTCATGGGGCCTGAACTCTGGGCCTGGGCGCTGTCCCTCAGCTCTTCAGCTCAAGGCTAGCACTCTACCACTTGAGCCACAGCGCCACGTGCTGAGGAATCAAACCCAGGGCCTCAGGAATGCAAGGCAAGCGCTCTACCACTGAGCCACCTTCCCAGCCCCTATCTTGATTTTTTTTTGGGGGGGGTTCCGGTCATGGGGCCTGAACTCTGGGCCTGGGCGCTGTCCCTCAGCTCTTCAGCTCAAGGCTAGCGCTCTACCACTTGAGCCACAGCGCCACTTCCAGCTTTATCTTGATTATTTTTAACGAGCTATTGTAAACCCACAATATAAGAATTTCAGTACAGAAATCTTTCATTCTTTGATTATTAGTATTCCTCTTTCCTCCTATATAATTAAGCTTGTCATGTATATTTAGTTTGTAGGGGTTGGAAACTCACATCTTTTAAAATCTTTCATATAAAATTACAAAGGAATACTGTCAAGAAACTTTTTTCATGCTTGTATATTTATTTTTGAAGGAACCAGATTTTTCAGAAGATCAAGAAGAAAAGAAAAAAGATACCAAAAAATCCAAAGCAAACTTACTTGAACGGAGGTCAACAAGAACACGGAAATGTATAAGTTACAGGTATGAAAAAAATAGAAGTAAATGACAGAGTATATAATTATTTTATAATTAGTATAACACAGAAACATAAACTTTTCTTAGGTTTATAGGTACAGTTATCCCTTGTTATCTCTTAGGGACTGAGTGCAGGCCCCAAAGTCCAGGGGTAGAGATTAATGTTAGCTAAAGTAATAGACAAAAGACCCTGGACTGCATCCCTAGGACACCTTTAAAACAAAAGAGAAAATGCAAGACTTTCAAGGATACCCATGTCTGCAGATGTTTAGTTCCCTCCAATTTTAGTATGACCTATGTTTACCTTCCTATGCACTTTAAATCTTCTTTACTTATGATGTCTAACATTGCAAATGCTAAGTTAGTGTTGGATTTGCTGTACTGTTTAGGAACTACTAACAGGAAAAAAAAATCTATACATGCATTGGCTTTTCCTTAATATTTTTAATCCAAGTTTGGTAGAACCTACAGATAGAGAACATTTGAGGACCATCTGTAGAATTTTACAGATGACAATGATCTTTTCCAAATCTAGTCTGCTCCTGTCATCTTTTTTTGCTTAACCTGCTTTATATTTGTGGATTTTTTATAGCTCTTAGAATAAGAATTGATGCTCTAATAAGGTCTATAAGACATGTATATCTTCTATTTACTTTCCCAACTCCATCTCATTAACAGTCTTTCTCTATGTATTTTCTACACTGTCCTTTAGTTTCTCTTGCATATGAGATTTACTTTGCCTGTAATTACTTTCACATTTTTACCTTAATTATCTCTAGACTCAGACCTCAAAATGGGCACTTGGTCTTGTTTCCATTACATATCCCATGATGTGGCAACAGATTCCTATCCAAAGTTCTTCATCTGAATTTTTTTTTTTCTTTGTGTAAAGAAAAACTTAGGTCTGGGTGCTATCTCCTTTTCCCTCAAGGATAGCTCTCTGCCTGTTGAGTTATGGCTCCAATTCTAGCATTTTGCTTGTTAATTGGTGATAATCCCGAGTCTCACATACTTTTTCAACCATGATCCTCAGACGTCAGCCTCTTGAGTAGCTAGGAGTGAGCCACCGTTGCTGCCTTGTATTGTAAATTAAAGCCACTTATTTGTGTTAAATACAATATCAGATCTTCAGCCAAGGGCAAGAAGTTTATTCTAAGTGAAAAATAATGTCTGAAGTTTCTGATAGTTTTTAATTTTAGAAAACAGGTTGGTTTTTGTTTTGTTTTTTGTTGTTGTTTTTTTTTTGGTTGGTCATGGGGCTTGAACTCTGGGCCTCGGTACTGACCTTCAGCTCTTCAGCTCAAGGCTAGCACTCTACCACTTGAGCCACAGTGCCACATCCAGTTTTCTGATGGTTAATTGGAGATAGAATCTCATGGACGTTCCTGCCCAGGCTGGCTTTGAACCATGATCCTCAGATCTCAGCCTGCTGAGTAGCTAGGATTACAGGTGTGAGCCACCTGTGCCCAACTCTAGAAAACAATTTTTTAGTGAATAAGAAAGTAGTAAATGGGAGAGAATGATAGAAGGGGTAACATTCATCAAGGTGCATTGTACTCATAATCTAACTTAAGGAATTATAACATCTTGTTTTGTTTTGTTTTGAGGGGGGGTCCGGTCGTGGAGCCTGAACTCTGGGCCTGGGCACTGTCCCTCAGCTCTTCAGCTCAAGGCCAGCGCTCTACCACTTGAGCCACAGTGCCACTTCCGGCTTTTTTTTTTTTTGCTTATGTGGTGCTGAGGAATCAAACCCAGGGCCTCATGCATGAAAGGCAAGCGCTCTACCACTGAGCCACCTTTCCAGCCCTTATAACATCTTTGTACAACTACTTAATACAATTTTTAAAGATAATAGTTTATTCAAAGAAATAGGTTGTTAGGGTACTTTTCAGGCACAATATGTCCTTTAAACAAGTAGTCATTTTGATTAATGTTGTATCTATCTTTATATCTCATTTTATCCTGATGAGTAGATGTGCAGGTGTTTTACTTTAAAAAAATATTCTCTTTAAGTATAGTTGTATAAAGGGGTTTCAGTTCAACATAAATTTATAAGTGCATTGTGTCTTCATTAATGTCACCCCTTGTATTGTTTTTCCTATCTTTCCCAAAATAGCCCTAAAGAAAAAAGCCAAATTGTTGCAAGGATATTATTCATAACATAATGAACACTGAAAAAATTCAAAGGGAAACTGTTTAACTAATGTTATATTTATAAGATGAGATACTATCCAGTCATTAAATATTATTGTGTTTATAGGTGTAGCTCAGTTTAGAGCACTTGCCCTGTAGGAGCAAAGTGTCCTGGATTGGATCCTCAGCACCATGAAAACAAGTCAATAAATAAATTACAAATAACATGCATCAAAATTTAAAATCTGCTCATATAAATACATATGCTCACACATATATCCATATATATATATATTCTCAACTCAGAAGCCAAATACTATTTTATTCTTGATGATAATTGTTAATCAACTGGTGCCACTCTTTTTAAAACTACTTAATATGGTGATAGAAATACTGTATTTCTTTGATAAACAATGGCCAATAGCCATTTGCCACCATTGAGTACATAAAATAGAAGGAATGTGGAAACAGTTTTAAATTTTTGCTCACTGAAATATTTCCTTTTGACTAGTATTACTATATTTAAATTTTTTATTATATAATAATTTTCCAAAGAGTTTTCATTGTGATATTTCCTTAGGTGCATACTTCGATTACATTCATTCTCTGTGTTGCCCTTTGTGTGAGGGTGGGAGGGAGGGTCCTGGAGCTTAAACCCAGAACCTGGGCACCGTAGTGAGCTATTTTTGCTGCTGCTTGAGACACAGCTCCACTTAAAGCATTTTGAGGTTAATTGAAGATGACAGTGATGAATATTCCTGTTCATTCTGGCTTTAAACTACAATCCTCAGATCTCAGTCTCCTTATTACAGGTATGAGCCACAACTGGCAGGCTTGTTGCTCTTTCTAATCTCCCCTTTTTAAAGTAATTTTTAATGAGTTCCATTAGTCTTTTCATACATAAATACAAGCTACTTCAATCATGTTTACCTTTGTCTTCCATGTTCTTGCTAGTACCCACCCACTAAACTTATTTCTCCATTCACCCTGGTGTCACCTTTTTAAGGTCCAGATTCTTTCTGTACATGAAAGAATACATGCAATATATTGTCTTTCTCGGTCTGGTTGATTTCACTTATTATGATCATTTCCAGTTCCATCCATTTTCCCACAAACTACATAATTTCCTGTTTATGACTGAATAATACTCTTTAAGTTACTGTCTTTGATCATTTGATGAACACTTAACGCTGATTCCATAGTTGGCTGTTATGAGTAGTACTGCTTGATAGCTATTCTGAATTACATTATCATTCATATTTTTATGGATCCGAATATTAAATATCTCTTCATGTATTTATTGGCAATTTGTACTTCTTTTGAGAACTGTCTAATTCATTTAGCCATTAATTGGATTGCTTATTCTTTTTTCTTTTTCTTTTTGTCTGTCGTGGGGCTTGAACTCTGGGCCTGGGCGTTGTCCCTCAGCTCTTCAGCTCAAGGCAAGCGCTCTACCACTTGAGCTACAGTGCCACTTCCGGTTTTCTGGTAGTTTATTGGAGATAGGAGTCTCATGGTCTCTCCTGCCCCGGCTGGCTTTGAACCATGATCCTCAGATCTCAGCCTCCTGAGTAGCTAGGATTACAGGTGTGAGCCACCATACCCAGCTAGTGATTTATTTACTAGCATGATTTTAGAAGAATCGGTTCATAGTTCTGGTTACTTAAACTCTGGAGTGAAAGAGTTGTATATATAAAGAAATCTTGGGAATCATTTGCTCTGTCCTTTTAAGACAAAGGAAAATGCCCTTTAAGCAAAAATAGATTTATCTGGTTCTACTCTTTGATCATCTGTATATGAATTTTATTTTTTTTTTTTTTTGCAGTCCTAGGGCTTGAACTCAGGGCCTGGACACTGTCCCTGAGCTTCTTTTGCTTAAGGCAAGGATTCTATCACTTGAGCTACAGTACCACTTCCAGCTTTTTCTGTTTATGTGGTACTGAGGAATGGAACCCAGGGTTTCATGCATGTTAGGCAAGCACTCTTCCACTAGGCCACATTCCCAGCCTGTATATGCATTTTAATAATACTACAACTTTCTGTACCAATAATTAGTCCTAACTCCCTCCCCCACAGTATAATCCCTGCTTTCACTGTATTTGATGTCAGTATAATTTGTAGAGGGGAAGGGGAAAAACAAATCATTTAAATAGGGATACAGGTGGACCCATTGCAACAATAAGATGTACAAGTCATTATGTCGAAAATGAACTTTACAACTTTGGTGGGGGGGCAAAAGGGGAATGGGAAGGGGAAACAAAGGAGGAGGCTACAATGTTGGATAAGAAATGTACTCATTATCTTGCCCATGTAATTTTAACCCCTCTGTACAGTATTTTCACAATAAAAAATAATAGTAAAAAATACTATTTATGGAACAATAATTTCAATAACTTACCTAGATATATGATTTGTATAATTAGAGGTGGGGCCTAGAAACTAACTACCAGTTTTTTAATAGCCCGTGAACTAAGAATGCTTTTGACATTCATAAATGGCTGAAAAAAATGAAAAGAATACTATTTAAAGCTGGTTGCCTATGGCTCACATCTGTAATTCCAGCTACTCAGGAGGCTGAGATCTGAGGATCGCAGTTCATAGCCAGCTCAGGCAGGGAAGTCCGTGAGACTTTATTTCCAGTTAACCACTAGAAGTCGCACTGTGGCTCTAAGTGGCAGAGTGGTAAAGTGTTAACCTTGTGCATAAAAAGCTCAGAGACAGCACCCAAGCCCTGAGTTCAAGCCTCATGACTGACAACAACAACAAAAAAATACTATTTTATAAAAATTACATGTAATTCAAATTTCAGTGTCAAAGTTTTACTCAAACTTAGCAATAGCAATTACTTAACATATCTGTACCTGTTTTTATATCACATTGGCATAGTTCATCGTTACAAGCAAGATTATAGAAGACTGAAAAGCCTAAAATGTTTACCTTCTAGCTCTTCAAAGTTTTTTGTTGTTGTTGTTTGCATGCTTATTTGGTATTTTTTGATTGTCTGGGAGCATAACATTATGGTTTAATGTATAACTGTTCTTGATGACACTGTCTTAGTTCATTTGTTAGTTCATATTTTGTGAAGGACTGCCTTGTCATGTTTGTTTGTCTTCTAATTTTACATGGTGGATGGCTCTTGCTTCTTTTATGAAGGCTTTAATTCTGTTAATTAATAGAATTAATCTGAGTACCTTGGTACTTCAGATTTCAGCATTTAAATTTTGAGACTCAGCCAAATCATCTTAGATGCCTAGTATAAATGACCTTTAGAAATAAAAAATCAGGACTGGGAATGTAGCTTAGTGGTAGAGTGCTTGCCTAACATGCATGAAGCTCTGGGTTCGATTCCTCAGTACCACATAAACAAAAAAGGAAGTGGAGCTGTGGCTCAACGGTTAGAGTGCTAACCTTGAGCAAAAGCTCAGGGACAGTGCCCAGGCCTTGAGTGCAAGCCCCAGGACTGGCCAAAAAAAAAAAAAGAAAAGAAAGAGAGAGAGAAATAAAAATTAGGACAGGCAGTAATTTGATCATATATATATTTTAGATTTGATGAGTTTGATGAAGCAATTGATGAAGCTATAGAAGATGATATCAAAGAAGCTGATGGAGGAGGTATGTATTATCATTTGCTCATTTTCTAGTACTCTGGTAAGTTGCTCTCCCCAATATGGACCACTAGACTTCTAATGTTAATTGTCTCAGATAAAAAATAATCTGTTGAGCCAGGTGCCAGTGGCTCACGCCTGTAATCCTAGCTACTCAGCAGGCTGAGATCTGAGGATCACAGTTCAAAGCCAGCCCGGGCACACAAGTCCTTGAGATTCTTATCTCCAGTTAACCACCAGAAAACTGGAAGTGGTGCTGTGGCTCAGTGGTAGAGCACTTGCCTTGAGCTGAAGAGCTGAGTTCAATTCCCAAGTCCAACAACAACCAAAAAGGTCTATTGCCCAGGTACCAGTGGCTGACTCCTGGATTCCTATCTACTCAGGAGGCTGAGATCTGAGGATAGCCGTTCAAAGCCAGCACCTGCAGGAAAGTCTGTGAGACTCTTATCAAGTGGTAAAGCATTCTCCTTGAGCTGAAGAGCTCAGAGACATTGCCCAGGCCCAGAGTTCAAGCCCCATGACCAACAACAACAACAAAAATCTATTGAAGCTATTGCCAGAGGCTCATGCCTGTAATCCTAGCTAGAGAAGGCTGAGAGCTAAGGATTATGTTTCAAAGCCAGCCTGGGAAAGAAGGTCCAATAAACTACTCAGTGAAATCCAGAAGTGGGGCTGGGAAAGTGGCTCAGTGGTAGGGTGCTTGCCTTGCATGCCTGAGACCCTGGGTTCAATTCCTCAGCACCACATAAGCAAAAAGAAAAAAGCCTGAGGTGGCACTGTGGCTCAAGTGGTAGAGCACTAGCCTTGAGCTGAAGAGCTGAGGGGACAGCGCCCAGGCCCAGAGTTCAGGCCCACGACCAGACCCAAAAAAAAAAAAAAATCCAGAAGTGGTGCTATGACTCAAAGTGGTAGAGCATTAGTCTTGAGCAAAAGAGCTCAGGGACAGTGCCCAGACCCTGAGTTAAATCCCCATAACAGACAAAAAAAAAAATCTATTGACACAGATTTTACTCATTTTTAAAGTAGTTTTTTAAATTATCTAATACAAAGTATTAATTCTCCATAGATTAAAATTTTTACATTTTGTTGCAATTAGAATACTGAAGAACTGTCCTGTAGTTTTTGAGACTACAGAATTTGAAGATCTATACATAATGAAAATAAATGACTGATTAAATCTGTTAAAATTAGTTGAATAATTTTAGTCTTTTTAAATGGTATTAATAATAGAGGAATTTTAAGGTAATTTACTAAAGCATTTAAGCAATTACTAATATGGTTTCTACTCAGTTATTATAAAAGCTTCTGAAAGGATTAATAAGTAGGTATTTTTTAAAAGAACTAAAATACTGCAAAATACTGCGAAAACCTGTATCTCTCTCTTTCTCTCTCTCATACACACACACACACACACACACACACACACACACAAGTTATTACAGTATAAGAATTTAATCTGGAGCTTGGGAATGTGGCTTAGTGGTAGAGTGCATGCCTTGCAAGCATGAAGCCTTGGTTTCGATTCCTCAGTACCACATAAACAGAAAAAGCTGGAAGTTGTGCTGTGGCTCAAGTGGTAGAGCACTAACCTTGAACACAGAGAGATTCAGTGCAAGTCTGAATTTTAAAATATGAAGTTTTCAGGGGTAGGCATCAGGGTGCAAGTAATAGAGCTCTTACCTAACAAGCAAAAATTTACAGTTTAAATCTTACTACTGGGAGGGTGAAAAAAAGGTAAAAATATATGGTTTTCTACATTGTGAACTTCTATTCAGATGTAGATCTTAATAAGAGCTCTATTAACTGAAGGTGTGAGAAGTATGCGTATTTGAGGGAAGAAAAAAGCCAAGCTACTTTTTACTAATAATAGAACAACCTGCACATTAACTAAAATGAAACGAAGTTGACATGTTATTAATTTCCCTGAAAATTAAAGGAAAAAAAATAATGAACAATTACCTCTCCTCCTCAGGAGTTGGCCGGGGCAAAGATATATCTACCATAACAGGTCACCGTGGGAAAGATATCTCTACTATTTTGGATGAAGAAAGAAAAGAAAATAAACGACCTCAGAGGGCAGCTGCTGCTAGAAGAAAGAAACGCCGGCGACTAAATGATCTAGACAGCGACAGCAACTTAGATGAAGAAGAGAGTGAGGATGAATTCAAGATCAGTGACGGGTATGTGCTGAAGACCCATTCTCTAGGTCTAGCTTAAATAGCCACCAGAAAGACTTGGTCATGCTATATTGCTATATTGGTCTTTTGTTTTTCTTTTCTTTTCTTTCCTTTTCAAGCCAGCTTGGGCAAAAAAGTTCCCATGAGACTCATCTCCAGTCAACCACTTAAAAACCAGAAGTGGAGCTGTGACTCATTGTGGTAGAATACTAAGCCTTGAGAAAAAAAAGAAAGAAAAGACCTTAGGGATAGCACCCAGGCCCAGAGTTCAAACTCTATGACTGACAAAAAGTAAAAAAAAGATATGATAAAAATGAGGATAGATACTAATTATTTTGATTAGATAGGTGATAATAACCAGATACCAGGCTGGGGAAAGAAGAGAAGTAGTTTGCAAGATAATGTCATCTTTGGACATGCTGAATTTAGGGTACATGTACACATGAATGTACACATCCATCCCAAATGTAATTTTTTTACAAAAGTCAGTTTGTCTTTATAGCTCTTCCTAATAGAATAATTGGCAAGATATTTCATTTTATAAACAAATTAAATAATTGCCCAAGTATATTACATTAAATATTACTTAATGTTTTACTAAGTTTTATCTGTTTTTTTCTTGGACAGATCTCAAGATGAGTTTGTTGTATCAGATGACAACCCTGATGAAAGTGAAGAAGATCCACCATCTAATGAGGACAGTGACACTGATTTCTGTAGCCGTAGACTGAGGCGGCACCCATCCCGTCCAATGAGGCAAAGCAGGCGTTTGCGGAGAAAGACTCCAAAGAAAAAGTATTCTGATGATGATGAAGAAGAGGAATCTGAGGAAAATAGTAGAGACTCTGGTAAAAAAAAAAAAAAAAAAA